TGACCAATGTGGCACCAGTGGGTGAACATGCGTCCACAGAGACATTGCATGTGCCCACAGGGTCCTTCCCATCATGGAAACAAAGAGGTCTGCTACACTGCTTGTTTGTGGTGTGTGTGTGTGTGTGGTTAGGGATGTGTGCATAAGACCCAATACTGGCCTAGTATCTGTGCATTAAAAAAAAAGCTGATATTTTTTCCATTCACTCTGTGCCATAGGAGCCAACTCCAAGCAACAAGGTCCCTTCAGCTCCCCCCAATAAAATATTTGAGGGCGCCAACCCCCCCCCCAAGTTGAACGGAATTGCCATTCAAATGGTGTGCGTGCTCCACGTCTTACGATCAATTATGTGGGGCGGGGGTTACCTGGGTCCCCCAATAGTTTATTCAAGTTGGCACCCCTGCTCTGTGCTCTATCAAGTTTTGATCTCTGCTTTGAGTTCTGAGCCATTCTGCGTAAACCAATTATTTCTGGTCCCCATTCATCATAATCAGGAATTTAAAAATTGTGATTTCCTTTCCCCCCTTTTGTCCAAAGTGGATGAAATTTACAGGAACAAATTTAAGTCTGTCAAAATTCAGACATATTGGTCAAGGGGCTTTTGTCAGGAGCTTTCCTCTATAAAAACTGTATTAGGGCAATATCTTTATTAGGCCATTTGGACTCCATTATTCATATTAACATTATGTTTTCAGCAGAGGGAGAGAGGTTTGATTTTTGCTCTTTTTTACCTTAAAATAATTAATAGGTGGCCAAGTATTGCATATTCTTCCTTGTACATTTAAAAATAAATAAATCCAGGACTTGCTTGTGTCCTCCAACAGACCTTAAGCATGAAGCTCTGTTTTTATGTGTGTATTAAAGCAGAGCAACACAGGATTTTTAAAAAGTCAATGATGCTTTAAACTTTTTTTTTTAATCCTCCACTGCTGTGCTTTAACAAACAATCCAGAGTTCTTCAATGCTCTGCAGGAACCAGTTTGCACAGCCTCACTTCTTGCAAAGTCCACAGACTAGAGAAACAAGGAGTTATAGAAAAATATAAAGCTAAGAGTTCAGAAAAGTATAGAAGAAAAACAACAACAGAGTGACAGGACAACATGAGGCTTTTGGGAGCCCTGATCCTACCCAGTAGGGTTTATTGACATTGTGCTTCAACCCTGGAGGGGGCTGGGTGGACCCTCAAATCACCACTTAAGCAATACACACTGGATTTTCACTAAACTGGCAAAAGGCACAATACTGTTCAATTTTCGACACAATCTAAACTGCCAACAGGGTAAATTTAATGAATGTTTTGGATAGGCACAAAAAAGTTACAAACAGTGTGAAGGCTGTAGTGCAAAAACTGGTATATAACTTATCCATTCTTCATGAGAATTTTCAAGATTTTCCATCCAGCAATTTTTGGAAGATCAGTTTTATATCTGATGCAATTGTTTCTCACTGTTTTTTAGAATTTGCATGGTCTGTTTTCTTGTTTTTAGAGTTCATTGAATTGATTTTATTTTTCTTAGAGCATCCATATCTGTGTTTTGCTCAGTTTTTACCATGTTCAATGCATAGCTGGCTTTAAACTGTGAAGCAGCCTATAAATTTGTGTAATAAACAAACAAACATTTGGTCAGATTATACCCCTCACTAGTTGCTTCTCCATACAAAGTAGATACTGTACAAGTTGTCCTGACTGCATGACAAACAGAACTTTCAGGTTTTATAATGACAGAATACTGAACGCTTAGCTAGAGTCAATAGCATGGATCTATAATATTGTAGAACTAGGAAAAGTGCAAAAGAAGGGCAACTAAAATGACCAAGGAGTTAGGAGCAGCTTCCAAATGAGGAAAGGTTTAAACATTTTAGGTTTTTTAGTTTAGAAAAATGTGAGCAAGGGAGGTCCTGATATAAAACCATGAATAGTGTTCTCAAAGTGGATAGGGAGCAGTTTTTCCCCTACTGTAACACCAGAATTTGAGGTTACTCAATGAAAGTATTTTACAGCAGATTTTAGAGAAACTAGATACTCCACAAAAGCATAATTAATGTATAGAACTCACTGCTATTTAATTTGGTGGCAACTGTTAGGTTAGATGGCTTTGAAAGGCAGTTAGACTGATTTTGCTCCATGAGTCTTTCTATCAATGGTTATTAGTTATGATGGCTACCTGGAACCTGCTTGTTCATAAGCAACAGTTTGAGATGTATTGCCTTCCTTCATGACTTATTTGTGGTTTCCCAGTGGGTATCTGGTTAGCCTCTGTGGGAAGCTGTATGCTGGACTAAATGGATCCCTGCTTTGATCTAGCAGGCTTCTGCTTAGGTTCTTAAGATACTGCAACCTGTGCCTGAGTTCAAAAATTGTCCTGATTTCTAAATCCTTTTGGCAATTGCCTTCTCCTGTATCTACATATATAAAAATGGGTTTTTCATTCAAGCAAAAATTGCATATGGTCTGGCTACTCCTGTCACTACAGCACTGCAAGATGAAAACGCTGCCCTAGCAGAAATCTCCATTCAGCGTAACTCATAAAAATATACATACAAGTCATTGGACCTGGCAACCTGAGTGGCTTTCTGCTGGTGACAAGATAAGTAAGTGTATTACTTGATGAAAAAGCAAATGAAGGAAAAAAGGAGATCTTGTGGAGGAGGCCCTTATAAATGAACTGTCAAATGAAATAAAGTTAAAGGAAAATCTCCTGCTGTAAATGCAGAGGTCTGGCGCTTCTAATAAAAATCAGGGCCCTGGAGGAATTAATTACATCAGCATTACAGGAAGAATTCATGGAATTGCAAAATGTAGTGGCACAGACCAGCACGAGCTGCTGTTGCAAATGGGGAAACTGCAGGAGAGTCTTAACAATTTCTGAGCTGATATGCAGGACATTGTAGTCACATAATAGCAGTTTAGACAATCTCATGAATAATAGTATTCAGCGGTAATGACAAATGATATTATGCATACTTCGCAGCTGAAGTCATTTAACTTTATTTATTTGCTTCTAAGGGTGTATATTAAAAGTGGTCCAGTGAAATCTGAAGAGAAAATGGTATAAAAAATATATATTTGAGTGAAATTAGTTCTAATTAAATTTATAAAGGTTTGCCGATTTATAGTGGTGTGTGTGTTTGTGTGTATCTATCTCTACCTCTATCTATCTGTATCTCAAAATTCACAGTGAATACACACCAAGACTTTCCCCAGAATAATGTTTTCTGATAACAAAGAACAGGGGCAAATGGATGCCTGATAGCAGAGCAGGGCTATGTGCAGGCTGCAAGAAAGCCTTGGGGTGCCTGATATGGCCCTGGGACTTTATGTTGTCTTACCCCTGATGCAAGTATGAAAGAGAATCAAGGAAGGTAACTTCTTTTCCTTCACCAGGAAGGTTCCTTTAGCAACTTGTAAAAAAGTTGATCTTAGCTGGTTGTTGTTGTTGTTGTTGTTCAGTCGTTTAGTCGTATCCGACTCTCCGTGACCACATGGACCAGAGCACGCCAGGCACTCCTGTCTTCCACTGCCTCCCGCAGTTTGGTCAAACTCATGCTGGTAGCTTCGACAACACTGTCCAACCATCTCGTCCTCTGTTGTCCCCTTCTCCTTGTGCTCTCAATCTTTCCCAACATCAGGGTCTTTTGCAGGGAGTCTTCTCTTCTCATGAGGTAGCCAAAGTACTTTTCTCCTAAGAGCTCCAAGGAAATGGGAGCATTTTCATGTAATAATTAGTCCTCTGAAAGAACTATGCAGTAACAGGAGTACCAGCGTGGCCCTGCGACTGTGGGTAACTGGGTCTGTGGGTGCCCATGCAGCATGCATGACCATAGAACCAAAATTTGTAGGTGTGTGCTTGGGTGCTTGGGCACCAGGGCCTCAGGGAGTTGGCACCTATGTGCAGTAAGTATTTGCTTGGATCACTACAGTACTAACATGCTGTTATGGGGTGGAAGTGTCCAATGACAATCATGTAATGGGTCTTGCAGCTATTATAGTTCTCCTTTTTAAAAATAGAAACATTTACATACCACCTCACGTCAGTGCTCAAAGAATAGTCCCCAGATATTATATTAATAACATTAAGGTGATGTTTTCTAAGAATATTTTAATAATAATAAAAATGAAACAATAAAAAGCATTTGTGTTCACAAACTTCATAGCTGGTGGAGCCCAGTTTGAAGTTCAGGTTCTTATGTTTTTTTTTACTTGGAGTCAAGTTACTTTATGAAGCAATATTAATCACCTATCCCTATAGCTGTTTCAGTTAATTAACTATTGCAGTCTTCATTGAAGAGTAAAAAAATATAGGTGGAACTGAGCTAACAAGCCCCATCAGCGGAAGCCCTACAGAAGGCCTTCTGCTTGCATTATAGGGCTTTCCTTCCTCTCCTCCTCCATACCCCCACACCCCTAAAAGTTGACGAGGAGGGATCCTGGAGAACCCCCGAGAACATCACATGGGGAAGGAGAGGGGGGTTCAGATCAAAAGAGCATGATGCTGAATTCCACCCCAGCTCCCCCAAAGCAATAATTTGCTGTTATGGGTCTATAAATACTGTAAATTAATTGCATGTAATGTTTTTCGTCTTTGCAGAACTAATTTTGTTATATCATATTTTATGGACATTTTAAAAGCACTATAAGGGAAGTATTCAACTAAGTGTTACCCTGAGTAGACCCACTGAAATTAATGACCTTAGTCTTGTTCATTAATTTCAGTGAGTCTATTCTAAATAAAACTTAGTTGAATGCTACCCTGAAAGTAGTATGATATATTCTCCTCTGATATTCTCCTCTTTTTTTATTCTTTTCTTTCTTTTTAATTCAGCCTTACAGATAAGCACCATGTTGGCAAAGCAATAAATTACTTTAAACTGCTTTACCTTTATTTTCGAAATGTTTTTTTTTTTAAAGAAGAAAATAAGAATATTGCTTCTCAGTTAAAACAAATTATTTGAACTGGATCACATAACTTTAGATCTAACTTTAAATATTTTTGTAACAGTGACAATTTATACCAAATGACCTCACAGCTTGAATGCATGACATGGAATCAAATGAACTTGGGATCTCAACTTAAGGGGTAAGGTTTATGTTTTTGTTTTGTTTTTAAATCAATCTTATATTGCAGAATTATGATATAATTTATTTTTTGATAAAACGACTTATCAAAATATTAAACTTCTTAGCATGTGGATATTTGTCACTGACATCCTGGCTGTTTATGTTTGTGTGTGTGTTAGATTTTGAAATGCTCAATAAAACCATTTTTTTCTTGAGCGTGTTAAGCAGTTAAAGGGCACAAGAGAGCAATATTATCTAATTTGTTATGAGCTATAATCTTTTATATAACACATTATAGGTGCGGATTGCATTCATTTTATAACATTTGAAAAAATATATATGGTGCAGTCATAAGCACTTCTGATAATCATGCTTTCACTTACACTGGTGTAATCGTGTAGATTTACAGTATCCATTGATGTACAGTGAAATCTTATTTATGTCTACTCAAAAGTAAGTCCCATTGAGTTCAGTTGAACTTACTCTCAGGTAAGAACATATATGACTGCAGCCTGATAGTCCCATAGATGCCTTGGCTGTGACAGCATTCATTCATTGATGTGGATGGTATTCTGGACTAACCAGCCTTTTTATTTTTGGGGTGACTTTCAGAACAGTGGCGCTATTTTTCACCAGCATTTCTTAACAAAACCATACACCTTGAATAAACTTGCGGCTTTTTGGAATAACTCCATAAATGGAGCTGATCAAAATCTGTGCCTACTGCATCCAGCCTTCCCAAAACTGCAGGGCTGTGTCGCAGGGAGCTGGCGAGATGGAGAGTACCTAGGAACAGGGCCAGCAGGCAGAAAAATAAAGTTTGGGCATAGTAACCACATAGAAAAAGCCAAGCTGACTATTGCCTAGTATAAACCCAAGCCTGACCAGGGATACCAGATGTTGGGGTCTGGGTGATGCCTGGGGTTGGGGAACTGAGTTCTCTGGGTTTGGAATGGACCCAAGTGCTAAAGTTCATCAGTTTGGAAAGGGTGTGGAGGCAGGGTCCAATACAACAGGATTTTATTTACTCACGATACATAATGGAGGGTGGATATGTGGGGAAAACCTCGTTTGGCCCTTTAATTTTCTGTCAACTGGCCCCAAAGAGGGGAAACCCTAAGGCTGATCTGGAAGCTTTTACAGCTTTGCCAGGTCAGAAGAAACCAGTGGTCTGCTTGGATGGGCTGTGTCACTCTGGAGCCTGAGGCAGGACGATGGGCCTGGAGATGGTTTTAGTCAGTGGCCTTGCTTGCTCACAAAAAGAGCAACAGAGCTCAGGTCAAAGCCACAGTGGGTCCCGGTTCCAGCCACAGTGGCTCCTGACAGTAACAATGCCGCAGCCCACGCTTTCCTTTTCTCCATCCCTTTTCAAATGTCTTATTTTAATCTTCCTCCCCATTTCTTCATACTTTTTCCGTCTCTTGCGTCCTTTTATTACCTTGAATTCTCATAGATCTTACTGTACATCCTTTGCCTTTGCTTTTCCGCTGTCCCTCCCATTTTCCTTAGCTTCCTCCCTATGGACCGGACTGTTGTTCTCTCCCACCTGTAGGGAGTGGGCTCCAGTCTGGCCACTGCTTGCCCAGAAATTGTTTCCTGTTACCCTGGAAGCAGGAAGTCCTTCTTGAGGGAGCCGCATGCTACTAAAGATATTTGATGAGGCTGCAGGCAGGATATGGGGGGCGGTTATGGGCAGTGCACTCCTTTCTTTCCTGAAGTTTGAACAGAGTGGGGAGATGAAGGTCATTAAAAGTATAGCAATCAGAGGACAACTCACAGAATTTAATGTTGGCTAGCATGTTTTGGTGGAGTAGAACCTTTCGACTGTGTGAGTTATAAATGATATTTGTATCTGGTGTGTAGATTTGAAATCAACATTTGAGAGAAAATAAGAAAATGCATTTTCACAAATGTATGAAAGAAATGATTCACTATATTTTAAATAATTATAATTGCTTTATTTTCATTTATATGTAATTGCTTTTTTCTGGCAAGGTGTTTACTTGCATCTTCTGAGAGTAAAGCTGCAGCATTTTATTTTATTTTTTAAAAGATAGATGGGTATTAATTAACTACAGTGGTACCTCTCATTACGAACTTAATTTGTTCTGGAGGTCCGTTCTTAACCTGAAACCGTTCTTAACCTGAGGTACCACTTTAACTAATGGGGCCTCCCGCTGCCACTGCGCCGCCACTGCATGATTTCTGTTCTCATCCTGAGGTAAAGCTCTTAACCCGAGGTACTACTTCTGGGTTAGCGGAGTCTGCAACCCAAAGTGTTTGTAACCCAAAGTGTTTGTAACCCGAGGCGTTTATAACCCAAGGTAACACTGTAATAGATAATAGTTGGATCCTTCTGGTGTTAGCATGTTGAAAATAATTTTGGTTTGAAGAAAAGCAAATTTCCTTATCCTATCTTATAACAATATTTATTTGTGGACTGAAATCCCACAGTTCAAACAGCCTAGCTGCAACTGGAAGAGTTGTCTCACTTAGTCTCTCTGAGACCAACGTGCGTTAAGTGCACATTTCTCTGTGTTGGAATTCCTCCACACCCTCCCATTTGAGGTTCTGAATTAGTTTTTCCTGACTATGCTTTGTGTATTTGTTGAAACCAAGCCCTAACAGAAGCATGAAAAATTAGATCTGAGCATTCCCCATCCACACATAATCAATTATTGTCAAGAGATTCTTTCTAAAAAAAATTAGTGGGAAGGGAGACATAAAGATGAAGAAGAAGTAGTTGCTCATCCAGGTCTCCCCCCCCCCCCAAATCCAGCATGTGCAGACATAGCATGTATTTATTATACAGAAGCCCTGGAATGAGCTGAAAACTAAATAAAGATAGAGTGTAAGTAATGTGAGTTTGACATGACACTAAACAGAAATGGATTAACCTATAGTGCAAGAGATATCCTAACATGTCACTGGAAATCTTAACCAAAATGTATACTATCTAATTATGGGGAGGTAGCATTATTAGATAGCACTCTTATTCAGTGCTACTTGTTTCAAATGATTCAGCACTGCATATGCTAGCAATTAAAAAACAACACTTTTTTTATTTCAGCTCATTTTCTGTGTGTTGGACATCAGGAGTCCCCCCCCCCTTAAAAAAGAAAGGAAATAAAATTGGGCCAGTAAGCAAATTTACAGTGAGAACAGTATGATGGAGCGCATTATTTATGTTGCTATGGCAGCACTGAGAAAACGTGTCATTTATTATATGGAAACTGCTACATATAAAGTCATGCTAAGATGACTGAAAATTGAAACCTGTAGTTATCTCAGTGGTGTGGTTGCAATTCGTTGCGAATAAACGTAAGTTAATGATGCTACTTATTCATCTTGGTAAGCTTATAAAAACAAATAAGCCCTTCTCCTAGGATGTAGCAAACTGTTATATCCTCTGTTGCAGGGCTTGGGAACCCATGACCCTCCAGATGTTATTGAACCACAAATGCCATAATCCCTGACCACTGGCTGGGGCTGATGGAAGTGCAAACCCAACAACATCTGGAAGATCACAGTTTTCCCATCTCTGCTGGATAGTTTGAGCACAGATGGGAATAATATTAACAGCACATATCTCCAACTGATTAAAGGATTCTTAAGCTGCTTCCTTGGTGAACGTTATTGTATGACCCATGTAATGTGTTTGCAGACTTCAGTGAGCCCCTGTCAGGCAAAAATGCAGGATACAAATAAATAATAATAACAACAATAACAATAATGTACTCTTGCATCCCATTCATATATGGTACTTGTTACATTGCAAAAAAAAAATGTGCAGGATAAAATTCACATTAAATAGTGATGTAAAATGTAACGGTAACATGGTAATGAACTGAGGCCAATGTTTCCAGCGGTACGTACCTTTGACATCTGGCATGAAACTCACAGGAGAGAAAAAATGGAAAGAATACTCAGTTTCTCAACAATCCATCACATTACATGGTTTTGATTTTTTTTTTAAAAATCTCAATACAATACCCACTTCTGCCTTTTTTTTTTGGAGGCCATTTCGGACTTTTCTCCTTCATTGTCTGCAATTTCCTCTTTAGATATGATGTTTTGTCTCTTCTAGAGAAAATATCCTGCAAAATGAAGAAGCATATAAACCTTGTCTGAGATCCAAGTAATTAAAGCAAGGAAGAGGTTACTCTTTAGGGATCTGAGTGGTGGAGGAGGAGGAAACCCCCTGGCTTAAACAGAAATATTGAAAGTAGAATGAAGACAATAAATGGCATTCTATGCATCCATAAGTGCAGACTTTTAGCAGTGATGCGAACCTGGGTTGTTTAGGAGGAAAAAGCAAAGAGAAGATGGAATCATGATGAACGATCTATGGTAAAGTCAATTTAAATGTTTTGGTATAGGCCAAGATTGTAGAATCTGTGGAAAATCAGAGCTAGACATAGCCTCATCGTTGGTAATATGAGCCAAAATAGTTATCTGTCTTCTTTGGCTGAGAGAGTTACAAAACACAGCGCCTTCAGTTTCAGTTGCCATGAACATAAGCTACTCTTCCTAAGATTTACATCTTTAAAATACATGGACTGTTCATAAGGGATTCCCAGGAGTGTAGTGTTTCAGATGTTTCCCTCCTTCTTGAAGAACTTAATGAATATTGGCATCCTTCTTTGCATTGAAATATGTGACTTCTATATATCTCTTCACAGATTATAGCCTTTATATACTTGCTGTCATTTTCCTATGTGATTCAGTTAAGATTTCCTTCCCATACTATACTGCAACAAATGTTTGAAAAGGATTTCAAAATCTGAGAAATGATTTTTTTAAAAAGTACCATAGCAGACTCTGCTTGGGGGCATATGTGATTGGACATAGGCATAGCCCTAATAGTACACAATGATGGGTGGTGTACACAGAAATCATCTCCATACCTAGCTTCTGGAACAGCCTTCCAGAAGGGGTAGATGTTGCTGGATTTAGGCCCCAACTTGTCAAACACTTGGTTTTAGTACGACTGATGATTTTCTGAAAGGGCTACATCCA